TGTAGCACAGTGAGTAATTATTGTTTATAGTAACTCATCATATATCTCAAAATAACCCAAAGATGTTTTCAGATTGTCATATTTTCAGATTATGTCCCATTAATATGAGCAGTTATTATGTGTCCATTAAAACATTCTTTAGAAGTTTGTCCTTGGTGAGTAGCACCAGCAGTACTTAGGAACTTGTTTGGAGTACAAAATATCAGCCCCACCTAGAACTACTGAGTTAGTAACAAAATCCCCAAGCAAGCTACATCCATATTAATGTTTGAAAAGTGCTGCTTTAGAGGATTAGTAATGACTCCAGGGGTTTGGAAGGGTAGATTAATGACCCCGAATCAGAGCTTGCACTGGCATTGTTACCAGCACTACGTTGTCCAATAGAACATGAAGCACCTCCGGGGTGCTCGTTCCCCACGGAGCAGTGGCACTCAGCATGGCATACGGCATTGCCCCATTAATTACTCTCACGCATTTGCATGGTCTATATATGAGCCAAAAAGGAAGAAAGAAAAACGGAAGGCTAGAAATGAGGGAGAGAGGGCGCAATGAAGGGAGTGAAACAGGAAAATGAATGAAAGTGTAGAGAAAGGGAGGAGAGAAAAGAAAAAGGAAAGAGAAAAATGTCACATCCTGTTTGTTTTGTTTCTTCACCATACATCAAGGTTATTTTTATTTATAGAGCCTTTGAGCCTCCAAATGCTATTTCCAGACCCACAACTTTCCTCTTAACTTCCTCCAAAACTACAAAATGACACTGAATAGGCTATGTGCATGACACACATAAAGCTATGGAGCTTTACATAAGACATCTGAGCAATAATAGAAGCCGAATTGAGGTGATGCTATTTTAAGGAGTAGAAATGGGAAAATGTAGCCTGTACGCTCTCTGAGAACTGAAGATTTATCTGAAAGGGTCCAGGACACAGACCAGATCATCGCAAATATGTATGGTGAAATGCTGCAGCTCAGAAGTCAAGAAGAAAAGCTCACAGGAGATTCTCCTACTGTACAGGACACTTTTTCTTTGTCACAAAATGAGTACAAAAAGGGAGAGATCACAGGACACCTACCTGACCAGAGGAGATAGAATAAAGGGCAACGGGAAGCACTAGAAATGGGAAACAATAGTGAACTTCTTATCTGAGTGAAGGAAGGCTTTATTTGTAGGGTAGCGGTTGTTTGACTGGTTTATTTCCACATCCATGAAGAGTCAATCAGAAGAACATAGGCTTTTTTTAAGCTAAAGAAAAATCTTAGATTAGGAATTGAGCACAGTCTTCTGTAAAGAGATGTAACACTTGGGGCAATTTGGGTAAAATGAACAATGAGTAAAACAATGGATTTTTAGGAACAGGATATAAAGGTAAGAAAAGAAAATCTCTTTTGGCAAAGTTGACACTCTTTCTAGATGAAATGCCTGCAGTCAAGCTTCATATTTAATATGCATACTCTGGTGTGTTGCTTCCTCCGTCCAAGCCCCTGTGTAACAAGAATACCAGATAAGATTTAAGTCAACCTCAATCTATTTACTAAGGATGGCTCTACTATGAGGGATCTCTAAACTCAGGAGCAGACTTCTCAGATATATATATAATACAGTGTGTCTTTTAGTAGAGGCCGCAGAAGTGATCAAATACCACCTCCTCTATGAATTCAAGATTCCATCTTTGGGGAAATGAAGGGCCTTTCTGCTTTGTGCTGTGATTCTGAAAATTTGCATCCTCCCATGAGCATGCCTACAAAAGTATATGATGACACTCTGCTGAAAACTGTTTTCTAGTCACCTTTAAATGTACTTTTAAAACAGCCAACGGGATGAAGAGAAATATAGTACACAGAATGGGAAAAAATATTGCCAGCTATTCCATGGATAGAGGACTAACATCAAGAATACATAAAGAACTCAAAAAATTAGACACCCAAAATAAAGGCCCAATCAAAAAGTGGGCAACTGAAGTGAATAGACATTCCTCAGAAGTACAAATGGTTAGAACATGAAAAAATGCTCATTGTCACTGGCCATCAGAGAAATGCAAATTAAAACTACACTGAGATATCATTTTACCCTAAAGGGAATGGCTATCACCAAAAGAATCTGCTAATAACAAATGCTAGTGAGGATGTAGAGAATAAAAACCTCTACTACAATGTTGGTCAGAATGTAGTACGAGCACTATGGAAGTCAGTGTGGAGATTCCTCAAAAAACTAAACATAGAAATTCCACTTTACTCAGCTATCCCCTTCTAGGTATCTTCCCAAAAGAGTTAAAGTCATCATATTACAAGGGTATATGCATACACGTGTTTACAGCAAGCACCACTTTTTTTAATAGCTAGATCTTCGGAACACTGTACATCTCATTAACAGATGAGTAGATAAGGAAAATGTATTTATATACAATGGATTACTATACTGCCACAGCAAAAGATAAACCTGAAGGATTCATAGGTAAATGGATACAATTTGAGAACATAATGTTAAGTGAAGTAAGTCAGACACACGTTTAAATACCACATGGTTTCAATTATAGAGAAAAATAGAAGAGAGAAAAATGGAAAAGAAGGAGATATTCAAATACATACTTCTCCAAATCACAAATTTCACTGTTTTAAACATATTTCAATATATACACTAATTGGTTTCATTTATACTACTAGTTTATCTTAGTTTGTTGAAAAGGAAGATTTGTGTTATGTGGGTTTTTTGGAAGAATCTTTTTGGTGTGTGTCTGGTACTCTGAGTAACTACTTCGAAGAGAATGATACACAATGTAGTAATTATTGTTGTTTGTTTATTTAAAAAACAAGAAAGCTCTGTTATTGGAAATGTGAAAAATAAAATGTCTCTTAAAAATAAGTGAGGAAGCCAGGATAGTAGCACACTACAAAAATTAATAAGCTCAGCATTTCAGTCAGGGAAAGACACTGCTTCTGAGATAGACGCCTATAAATCTCACCGAAGCAGCATTGTTTTGAAATTTCCCCAGCCTCAGGAAATTGTATTAAGCACAGGAAAACAGCACACTGGAAGCACTGGATTCCTGAGCTGAGTTTCTGTTGTGAGGTGGTCAGAATTGGTAATATGTACACTGTTTAAATCACTTGGCCTGTTCTTTGCAAACAGATAAGGTAGTTCTAAGACTCTCCTTGCAGAGAACTAGAAAGATCTTTTGTACTGTATATATTTTAAATCTAAGGATGGTATGTGAAATAACCAAACTTGCCTCTTTTCTAAAATCTATTTCACCAAATATTTTCACTTGTTTTCTTGGTTTGAGTTTAAAAATGAGAAATTATAAGGCAGATGGAATGATACTTATGTTGGTACAATTAACAGCAGTAAGGAAACTTTTGACATGATGCCCTCATTCACAGAGTATGAGGTGAGAATGTTCCCCCAAAATTCCTCCAGAAGATGTCTGTTTGTGATCCTCTTTATTTTTGATAATACCTTTAATAATGAGCAAGTTGGTTTAGACAAACTTGCTTCACTGTCTCTTTTTAAAGACGCAGAGTAAATGTGCAAGGGCAGTTTATAAATGACGTTTTTCTCTATTCTTGTTTAAACTTTCTTATAACATGTGACACTATTTCTATGTAAATATGTATCGTTTTAATTATGGTACTGATTTTATGAAAAACAGCTTGCAGGAAAACCAATTAATACAATGAACACCCACTAAAATATTTTTACTTATGACAAGGTCTTGCACTTATTTTCCGATGTTTGTTATCTCTTATAAAACAGTTCACTGTGGCTAAATCAAATAGGTGCCGTGACATTGTTTAGATTATCAAGTCCAAATTAATCAGCTATTTGAAAGATGTTCTAACTTCCCTTCAGCTGAGATAGAAAAGGATAGCACTCTAAAAGCAGATTGTGGCAAACTGTAGTTGCATAAAATACCCTTTTTTTGCACTCTATTATCCTTTACTATTATAGGAAAATGGTGTTATTGCCTGATTACTGAGAAAGCACACAAAAATCTCCCCTTCCAAATCTGAGCCAGTCCTTGACTAGTGATGAACAAAGCCAGGCCATCTGTTCTGAATATCATTACTACTTTGGCCATTTGGGCATGGGATCTATCTGTTCTGCTTCCAAGAGAGGTTTAAGATTGGAATATTGGAGTGAAATAAGTAGACAGGAAGAGACATATGAAAAAACCGAATTTTCCAAACAGAGCTACCCATTTGTTTGCCTGTCATTACTACCATCATTTTAATTTTCACTCTGGCCAGAGAGGTAATCTCTGGGGTCCCTATTTTACAAAATGTTTCAGTAAAAACTTAATTCTAGAGTTTCTACAGTAAATGTTTAGGAAGGAAAAAGCATGTAGGTGAATGTGAGTCATCAGTCACCCCCGCCCTGCTTCTGGTGATTCTCCGCTGGAAGAGCAGAAACATGGGTTGAGCTTACATTTCTGTCTTTCTGGAATCACACTATGCCTCAGGCCATGTTAATTTCCTGAACTAAACAGTTCAGGAAATCTGCTGAAAGGCAGCTGGCTAACTGCTGGTGTCTGGCAATCCCCATCTGTCCCCAAGCCCCGGGTCTTTGCCTCCTGCTTTCACTTTGCCTTTCTCTCAAGCAGGCGTCTCTCTTTGTTTTCAGGGGTGTCATTCACCTGAACTTTCCTTCCTATGCCTGTAAACTTGAGCTCTTTTCCTCTGCCCTGCGGACCTCGGGCTTTGTCAAAGTGACAAGACACAGTTCTGTTGACTGTAGTTACCGCGCCGGTGATGGTGGAGATGATGACGGCGATGGTGGAGATGGGGTGCTGATGGTGTAAAGGGAGCGCAGGCTGAGCGGGCGCCCGGAGGAGAATGGACCGCGGAGGCGGTGGCAAGTGGGGTGCGGGAAGGGAAGGAGTGCAGAGGGATTGCAGATGGGAGCTGTCCACGCACCGAAGTGCTGAAACGCCGCAGCCCAGGCATGGGGGGTGGGGGGGCGGGGAGACTGCAAATATAGAAGGGAGAAAAAAGGCAACAAATACCTTCACACAGGCTCCCAGGCTTGCTTTGGGAATGTGCTTCTGCAGGTGTCCTCGCGGCTGAACTCGCTGGGTGAGATCTCCTATTCTGGCAGGTTCGAGCTCAGATTTCTCTAGAAAGCTGTGAATGAGCCCGGCTCCACCAGGCTGTGATTTTGGTAGGAGGCGTGTGCGCCGAGACTCTGTCCTTCTATACCGAGCCTGGCTTTCCCCTGGGTCCTAAATGCCTCCACACAGTTGCTCTCCTTCATTCCGTCAAGACAGTGCCAAGAATTATTGTAATCGGTTAACATCTGGAACAAAAAGTGCAGGAACTATCGCTCTCCGCACGTTCAAAACAGACCCTTTTAAACGAATTAATGCAAGCTCTGAAAGAGATCACTGTGTGTGTGTGTGTGTGTGTGTGTGTTTGTGTGTAAATTTGACAGAGAAGGAAGTATCACCCACGGACAAAAAATGAAGGGATTATTTTACTAACAAAGGATCTCAAGAAAATGAGGTATTTGACAAGGCTCAAATTAAAACCCCAAAATAAACCAAAATAAATCAAAGATAGATAAGATAGCTTAATTAAGAAGTAAAAATGTAAAAATATAATAAACACTTACAAATTAGGATTTGAAAGGTTTTCTAAACATAAGAAGAATGGAAGAAATCACAAAGAATAAAGACCATTAAGTATAAGAATGCAAAAAGAACTTCCAAATATCAAAATGTGTAAACATAAATTACCACTTAGAGAAAAATTACAACAAATATATGCTTCATACGTAAAATATCTCCAAAATCCAATGAAAAACACTAACTACTTCATAGAAAAAATGGAGATAGGAAGGGAAATAAATTCACAGAAGGGGAAGATGCGATCCACATATTTAAAGAATTAACTTCACCAGTAAATGTTGTTTAAAATAGCACCAAAGAAATAATAGAAGAAAAAATAAGAAAAACATTAAAATAGCACTGAGGTATGGTTTTGTCTGTTTGTTTGTGTGTTTTTTTTTGTTTTTTTGTTTTTTTTGTTTTTTTTTGGTATGTGTGTGTGGTACTGGGAATTGAACTTATGACCTTGCACTTAACAAGCAGGTGCTGTGCCACTGAACTATATCTCCGGCCCTGGGGTGTGGTTTTGACTGAAGTTTCCAATCTGCACAATATCTCACATTGTTGGGAAAACTATGAAACAGTATAACCTTTTACAAATGTATTCCACAGCACACACATCAAGTATCATAAAATATGCATGGAATTTAGACCAAATAACTCCATTTCTAGCATTTTATGTTGGGGATGTATTCATAAATGATGATAAAGATTCATGCATATAAATTTCATTCATGAACATAAAATTGTCAAAAGTAATAAAAGCATTAATTTTTGATATGGACTATAATATTTGAAGCTATTAATAATATACTTTAAGACTACTTAAACACAAAGAACATGCTCGAAAAGCAAGTGATGAAAAGCAAGATGCCAACTACAGCATCTTCCCCACTCCCTACTTATTAAGTTAGTAAGACCATAGGGTCATATGACTATGGTTTCTTTTTCTTTTTTCTTTCTTTCTTTTTTTTGGCTAAAGTAACTTGATATTCCTCATTGTGTTTGTCTAAAGTTTCCATATTTAGTAAAAAAAAACCTTACATCATATTTTAAAGCAAACTTTCTACCATGTATTTCACAAAGACTTTAAAGTTATCAGAATGCTTCCAACCCTAACGTAGTATCATATACTTACTTGTTTAGTTACTATCTTCCTTCTCTCCCCGGTAGCAAAGAATATGCTTTGTTCTCCACTGTTTCATAGCACTTAGACATATTTCTGTAACATCATAAGAGTTCAGTAAGTATTTTTTCTACAGAAAAAAATAGATAAATAAACGGATGACAAGTGCATACACATACACACATGAAAATGCATTTAAAATTTAAAATGTTTTACCGAGATGTGAATTTCATATAGGAACAATGTAATACATCAGAAAGATCTGTGGTTGATGCTGAATTTTGATCACACAATCACAATTAAAGGGGCATCTTCAGAAGAATAGCTAATCATGGCCATGACTTGCAAAATGGCACCAAATGCAAATTTTTTAAAGGAAAATGTTTTCTACACCTAACTCCCAATTTCGTACAGTTCCACATACTTCACTTTCTTCTGAGATTTTAGTGGTGATGTTTCTGATTTATTCCCTCTCTCCTTCCCTCCAGATGATTGGTAACAGACTTCGGTGTGTCAGAAGTATACGATTCAAAGTGTATTTGAACACCTTTCTTCAACCAACATTCCTTTCCAGTTACTCTTCACTATTATCACCCTTGAATGACATCAGTGATGACTCAGCGACATTTATCTGTATTTTCTAACCTGTGAGATAGAAAGGGTCATAATGTATACTACAATTTAAAAATTCAGATTTTCTACTTGAGAAATCTTTACAATTGCTTCTTGGCCTTTTAGCTAAGATCAAGTAAGAAATCTTTACAGAAGAAAGTTAATTCTCACCCAAGTGTGAAGCTGAGACAATCTCGTAGTGTGCCTGCCTGATCTTGTAATGGAAACAATAGAAACTGACAGAGAAATCACAGATGCTACTAGCTGTCAAAGTGTAATCATATATTTTGAAAAAATGTTCAAGTTTAAACTTTATCTTCACTGATTAGTGTGCAAAACATTCTATGTTTTAAAGTCACTTTTATTGATAATTTAGATAGATATGCAGGATCTATTAAAGATTTACTTTTTCCCTATTGTGAATGAAGATGTGTCCTTTCCCTTTATATTCATTGATGTATCATTTATGATAATACTTTTCTATCTTATTTAAAATTGCTATGTAAGGAATCACCAAGAGAGTGAAAAGAAAACCCACAAAGTGGGAAAAAATTTTATCCAATTGTCCCTTAGACAAAGGACTTCTATCTAGGACATATAAAGAATTGGAAAGAATCAGATCCCCCAAATTCAAGGAACCAATCGAAAAATGGGCATCTGGGATGACTACACACTTCTCAGATGAAGAAATACAAATGGTAAATAAATAATGAAAAAATATTCAACATCACTGGTTAATTGAGAGATGCAAATTAAAACAACACTGAGAGTTCATCTCATCTGAGAAAGAATGACTATTACCAAGAAATTAATAACAAATGCTTCGGGGCTGGGGATTTAGCTCAGCGGCAGAAGCTCCTGCTTGGCATGCGCAAGGTCGTGAGTTCGGTTCCCGGTACTAGGAAAAAACCAAAATAATAATAATAATAATAATAACAAATGCTTCACGGGCTGTGGGGAAAAGGAACACTTCTGCACTGTTAGTGGGAGTGTAGACTGGTACAACCACTGTGAAAATCAGTGTGGAGATTCCTCAGAAAACTAGGATTAGAGGTCCCATTTCACCCAGCTATTCCCCCTTTGGCTATCTTCTCAGAAGAATTAAAAACATCATACCACAACAGTACATCTGCACCCATGTTTATAGCTGCACAGTTTGTAATAGCTAGATCTCAGAGACAACCCAAATGCCCATCAACCAAAGAATGGATTAAAAAGATGTGGACTTTTCATACAATGGAGTACTACTCAGCCATGAAGAAGGATAAACTTGAGACTTTTACAGGTAAATGGATATAACTTGAGAACATATTCATAAATTAAATAAATCAAACTCACATGTGTAAACATTGTATTGTCTCCCTGGTGTGAGAAACTGAAAGAGTAAATAAATTCTCAAATGTATAATAGATATTATGAAATGTAAGAGATTGTTCAAAAGGAACTAGGATGGGAGAAAGGGGAAAGGACAGTAGAGAAAAGGAAAAAACCGCAAGTCAGTTACACTATCAGTGTCTCTTACTTCACTGAAAGGGAAGGTTTGTTCTAGTATCAATTGGAGAAATTTTTATGCCCATAGCCTGTACTCTGAGCAACTATTTAATAATAACAACATAAAATGTATCAACTATTGTTATTCTCCAATTATTTTGTTATTAAATTTTACTTTTTTACATACAATAAACAGTACCATGTAAGAACAACTGCCCCTCACTGAATACTGTATGTGTGTACTCTCTGTGTTCAGTTCATCTTTTGGGTTGTTTCCTGGGACCCAGGATGACTTTGCTCAAAGCTTTTGCCTGATACCAGCAAAACATAGGCTGTGATGGGTTGCTTTCTTCACTCACCCTACCTGACATTTGCTGAAACTCTGCACATTATACTCAACCTCTATTTCAACTCCTCACATTGCAGCTGCCTATGTGTTTGTTTGCCAGGATTACTCCATGTATCCTTTTGTGCCTAAGTCACTGAGGGCCCTTGCACCATGCTGACTGCACTGTGATCTAGGTTTGGATATCTGGAAAGTGATTGCTGTTGGCTGGCCAGTAACAGGTGAAGGATCTATCCATGTGAAGTGGGAAGACCAGAAAAAATAGATTAATGTCCAGAAAAATCTTACTATGTATGAAGAACATGGTAGGATATTACAGTGGCAAAAAAACAGGTTTCTGGACATTTGCATTGTTTGGGTGTTTAAATTGCAACAGTAACAGTATTCTCATTAGCTAAGTCATATATTGTTTTTCCTAGGGTTCTGTAATGTAAATGGTTAGAAGGTTTTTCATTACTAGTTCTGTTACATAGTGTGCAAGCCCATTTGAGGTTTCAGAGTTTGTGTTAGTCCATTGGGCTAGGTAATGCTGAAAAAGCAAATTAACTCCTTAGCCCTACTGGTTTCGCACACCAGTGGTCTCTTTCTTAAAGGTGGTTTAGGAGAAGGTGAGTTCTGTTGTCTTGAGTCTCCCAAGGACTAAGTAATTTTAAGACAGGTTCTCACCAAATTGCTAAGTTGCTCAGGCTGGACTCAAACATGTGATCCTCTTGCCATAGCCTTTAAAAGTGCTTGGATTTATGCATTTGCCACCATACAGCTCTGGAAATTTTTGTAATGATGCTGTTGATTCTGCTCAAGAGTTGAAAACTATGTAAACATTGCAAATCTAAGTTTCTTATTATGGATTTGAGGGCCTTTATCATTGTTTCCAACAATGAAAAAGCACATGCATCCTCGAATAGAGTTTAATGCCATTTGAGAGGAAAAAGACTATGAAGGAGAACTTGTGTGGATTGATAAGTTGGTAACC